ACTCCAAAAATGCTGAAACTTAATAGTTAAATACTTCACATATACATGTATTATCAGTTAAAATTTCAGCTCATTTGAACATCAATAGCTTGGTCAACTCGAATATCAAATATAACATATAAACATGTAATATATACGCATATTTTCAAAGAATTTTATAAAATCCCACACTTATCATATGGAGCTTAATCTTGGTGATATTGATAACACCATATTCAAGACATGCTTGTAAAATTCGCACTTTAATATCTCAAGTATGGACTGAGTACTCTAGCAACAAACTTCAACTTGACATGTATATGGTCTGTTATTTTTAACTCATTCATTTCGCAACATAAAATTCTGAACTTTGGCAGTCACACTCTCAACATATAGATAGATATGTTATAAAAATTTCATATTTTTATCATGCATATATTTCAAGTTATTCGAATTTAAAGTCGCTGCTGAAACAAGGCACATAAAATTCAACTTGCATGCTTAACTTAAAAAATCTATAACTCGAGCTATACTAGGCCAAATGACTTGACTCTTTCTCCTATGTACTCAGCATTTGCACATGAATTAGCCATATAAAGCATAACTTCCCAGGTTTTGCATAGCATACTCAAAATCAAATGTAAACAACACATATGGAACATTCATGCGAGCTGGGATAACTTAATCATATTGCAAGCTTATAAACACTTATTAACTGAACATATATGGCATAAAGATACATCATTAAACCCTTAATCTCCTCTCTATCATGTTATAAAAAGAGTTTAGCATACCAACCTCTTAAACTCTCAAGAAACCGCAAGGAAAGAAGGTGACTAGGTTAATGGCTCTCGACAAGCTTACTATTGCTCGGTTTAATGCTAAATTGTAATATGGCTGAGTATTTGAGAGCTTAAAAGAGTAAAAGAATTTTTGATTTTGTGGGTCTCAAAATAATGATGGAAGAGGGGTTTATATAGTGTCTTGAAGAGACATAAGAGCATGACATGGGGACATAAGATCTAGATCCATTCTACATCTACCTCACATGAATTTGTCAACTAATTGATGCTAATGTAACATGCTTGATATGGCTGATGAATCACATCCATGTGAAAGAAATGAGATGGAAATAGCTTAACTTAATGCTCTTGGCGTCTTAACAATACATAATCATGTGATCGATATATATATATATATAATAAGAATTAACATTTTTCAAAAATAGTAAGTCAAATTTTGGTCAAAATTCTATCTGCATTAATTACATGCCACTTTTGGAAACTTTTTTTTTTCTTACAAAAAAATCGGGCAGCATTAAATGCTTCCCTTAAAATGTGGGATTTGTTCAATCACAAAAGATTTGAACACATTTTTAGAGATTAAGACCCTTATTTTAAATTAAATTTCAAAATACAGTCAAAATCTATATAACCGACTAAGATTTGTAACATTTTTTAAAATAAATAGACATTCAAATAGAAAATGAGATTTCATTTCCGGTATTGATTTTTTTTCGACTGAATAAAATTCGGATTTCGACCGAAAATTAAAAAATTATTCCAGATCCGTCCATTAAACTTACGAAATTTCTAAAATCTACAAAAAAAAAGCAATATGAATCAAAATAATTGAACAACACATACATAAGTCTCGATATTCAAAAGAAAAGCTTTTGAAATGGTCGAAATAGTAATAACAGAGTCAGTTTTTCATCGGTTTCGACCAAAAAACAAACATAAAATCTTAGAACACAAAAAAAAAAATATGACAATCAAAAGAAATAAAATACTAGAGGCATCTTTCTAAACGTAAAGACAAGATATAATATCGACTTATCTAACATAAGAAATCGACTCGCAATAGATGTGATTGATTATTTAAAAAATAGAGCATTTTTGTGAAAATTTGAAAGAATGTTTTATCAAGTTTCTATAAGTGATATAAGAGAGAGAATAGAGAAGGAAAGCGGTGGGAGGAGGAGAAGTAATGACATAACCCTAATAATTTGGATATTTTTAACTTTTTCAGATGACATCTTTGATTTTTGACCATTAAATATCGGTTGACTAATTCAGACCGTCTGATCCATTCTTTTAAGCTATAACGGGTTGAGATGTTGGGTCGCACTTAATGATGCGGTCTGCTTTCATGGTTGGGCATTATTTGGGTCAATTCAATAATATGTTATTTGCCCGTTAAGTTTGACCCGACCAGTTTAGTTGAGTACATTATATTGTGGAACATAATTGGGCTTCAAATTTTTTTAAATTCCATAAATCATTATAGCCGTGCATAGCACGGATTACTCAGTGTAATAATAATAATAATAATAATAATAATAATAATAATAATAATAATAATAATAATAATAATAATAATAATAATTTTTGAAACCTTGCGTACTCAAATTTTCACACGTGACATCATAATTTTTTTAAAAAAGGTATCAATAGTGATTTCTCACTTACGTTACTCGAACTCGAAACCCATTTATAATTGTTATTTAGTATTGTTTACCCGTGCATCGCACGGGGTATGCATTAGTTACATGAAAAGTAACATGGTTTAAGTTGACAAAAACAATCAAATTTGCCATTTCTTATAATGTCTTTATCATTGCACTCAAAAATCCGATTTTATCATCTTTTGAATTTGTAAAAATCATGCTAACTTTGGTCTTTATGTTTACTACAAAAGAGGAGAGGAAAAATAAATTTTACGGAACCAAATTTGGACTTAAAATACATCTATAACCAAAAACCGATGAATTTGACTATAATTTGAATTTTTCTCTAAATAAAACTCTTTTGGTTGGTTTTGATGGCTGCAAATACTATTAAAGAGCTAAAATATAATGGTCTTACGGATTGCAAGGGTTCGAAACGAATTAACGAACCACAATTCGGCTTACACGATTAAACCGAAAATTCAGACGACGATCGATGAAATAAAATTGAACGAGCTATATAATTATATTATCCACATAATAATATAATATATAATCACATAATCAAGGTATATAATAATAAAATAAAATACCATTAATTAAAATAAAATAAAAAAAATCTAATATTCAAACGGAGCACTACACGACCCATGGTCCCAGCACGGACCTAGACCGTGTCAGTTCAGGGTCCATCCAACCCAGCCCGTCAACTCGCCGGGCCGGGCCGATTCTGGTATAGGCCCGACCCTTTTGGCCATGTTTAGAGAGGAGGGGCAAGTAGCAGAATAAGTTTATGTGCAGTTTATGTTCAATTTATTATACGTTTATAAACCAACACAATATTACATACTTTATTTTTCGGTTCATAACAGGTTTATGCATTATTTTAGTGTATATTTGGTATATAAAATCTGCAATTTTTATTGTTTTGAGTAAACTTTTATTGTTTATGAGCTGAAAAAACGAGGTGTATTGTTGTTATCTGGTGGAGTATGATTGTTTATTTATTTTTATTTTAAGTGTATGTTTGGCATATAGAATATGGAATTTGGTGAGTTTAAGTGAAACATTTACTACATGATACAATAAATGAGCTGAAAAACGAGGTATATTGTTTTTTTTTTTTGGTGGNTAATCGACCAGGCTATCGTAAAAATATAAACAAAATTCTTAAACAAAATTCAACATCACAATTTTGTAAATAAAAACGCAACATATACTGAAAATATATTGTCCTTTAAACTCAACATAGACTGCCCATTCCAAATTCCCTAAATATGTTCGCTACAGTACTTCTCCTACTTATAAACCAAATATAAAACTGAATTTTGGTTGTAGTGGACTAGGACAATTTTTTATATTCGTTTACATCCTGAGCATTTATTACAGAGTTTTGCATATCAATGTTGTACAGATTATAGGTATAAAAATAAATAAAAAATATAAAAAAAATTCAAACATCAAAATCGTATAAATAAAATCGCAACATATAATGAAAATATGATGTCTATAAACTCAACATATACAGCTCATTCGCAATTCCCTAAAAATATGCTCGCTACAGTACTTCTTCTACTGTTTTTGCAATTGTTTCAACCTTGCACCTCCTTCACCGACAATACAGCCGCGGCCGGAATCTTCGGCCCCTCCTAGGCTCCAACGTCACCCTTACCAACGACGCTCGAGTTGAGCCGCCGATCCTTCGCCTCGAGAACGAGTTCTTGGTCAGTTATACCTTCTACCGGAAATAATGTCGGAATTCTTCCAGCCGCCCTTCACGTTGTAGGTGAAAGCCTTGGGCTTGTCGCCATTGGACGAGCTACATATTTGATGTGCTGTCTCCGATAAGCCACATCTCCGAGGTCCATGCGTCGTGCATTGCTCCACCGTGGGACGAGCGTAGTCCGCTTATTCACGTTGTCCGTGCGCCGTGCATCGCACTATCGTGGGCGAGCTAGTCTGCCAATTTAGCTAAAAGTCGTTGGAGTCTGGGGTTGGATTTGGCCGTAATAGAAATAAAGTGGATGGTTGATGGGGTAATGGTTGGGAGTTGAGGGACGCTTAAAATAGGGTCATTTTTTACTTGATATTTCAGTATCCTACTAAATCTATTTTGTCTAAAATTAAGTATTTAATTTTGTCAACAGATTTTGATATTAGTGCAAATAAAATTTAAATATTTAGTATATCTCATAATGCCTGTTTGAATGCAATTAAAATGTCTTGGTGTCGTGCGTGAGGTAAATTCCTCTTCTGTAAATGTGTAACTCCACATTTAACTTTCACAACATGAGTTTATATTTGAACTTTGATGTCCATTAATGAACTTCATTAGTTCATTTACAACAACTAATACATTTATTAAAAATAAAAAAAAGACCCAAATCCGTAAATAGACCATCATCTGTCCAGGGGTGTTATAGGCACATCACAATTTGTCATCAGCGTTCACGCATTTTTCTGTTGTGGTTGCTCTGCATTTTCTACGTCTAACGTAACAGAACAAAGAAAAGAGCAAGAAATAGACACAGAGAAAGATCGACAGAGAAAGGAGATAGATATATTGTAGAGAGAGAGAGAGAGAGAGAGGCAGAGGAGAAGGAGGAGCGAGAAGAATTTATTTTCCGTTCCTTAGGGAAAGGAAAAGTTGTTGCAGAGAGGGTGGATTTTGGTTTTCTTTTCCGGTCCCCTCGTAATCAGAACACACATTTCACGCACACACACTAACGCAGAGAGATTTACGTGTCGTTTGATGTTCAAAATACGACTCAATGAGGGTTAATTCTCGTGATCCTAAACCCACATTCTCGTAATCCCTGACCTATCTCCTTGTATTCCAGACGTCTTATTACAGGGGGAAAATCAGAGCATCGACAGAGAAGAAAATAGAGAGGACGAAAATTTGATTACATATTAGTGTGTATTCCTTGAATACACACACAAAAGGTGGTGTTATGCGTAATGCGTGCATGGGAGGAATCAATTTTTGATGGGTTTCTACGCATTGGCTGTTTGAAGATTTTACCTTGGGGCCTGACTGCCTCCAATTCAGGAAATGGTGTGCATTTTCACTTGTCTTATTCTATCATTTTTGCTTTTTTTTTTTTTTTTAAGTTTGACATCTTCATTTGGTTTATCTTTCCAACAGTGACAAGCTAAACGTGATAATTTGGTCGCAAAGTTGAGTAATTAAATTTTGGTATTCTAACTATTATTGTGATGAAGTTGAAAGCTTGGAGTTGTTTTACTCTGGTTTGGTATGAGAAAATGTTTTGAGGCTATCATTGTTTTTTTTCCTTGTGAAGTTCTTCATACTATCTAATTTTCGTGTCATGTATATTTGTTATTGGAGCTTGAAAATGAATCCAATTTGAGAGCAATTGGTCTGGGCAAAAGAATGGACTCCTTCATTGATCCTGATCAATTTATTTCTTGTCTTTTAGTATAAGCAAGTGAAAAACGTGCGGGGTGGATTCATTATGTTTAGTAAATGGCATTACCTTATTGTATCATTATCATCAGGAGATTGCTTCAAACAATTTCCTCAAATTATTTGTGTTTGTTTTACTTTATGAGGATGTTGTAGAATGCTTCATGTGAGAGAAAAGTTAATATATGATCATTAAGTGTGATGGATGCAATGTCCATATCATTAAGGATTAATATTAGAAAAGCTTGTTTATATGCAAAATATGTTGGTTATTATTCTAGATGGCAGAAACACATGCATGATGAGTGTAATAAGTAAACGTTGAACTGGAAAAGTTGCCATTTATACGGAACTCTTTTGGAGACTAAAGAATTTTAAATTTAAATGTAGTGCAATCAGCTTTAAGATGACTGAAGTCTGCCTGTTTTATGCTAGTGAAACTATCATGGAACTTATAAGACACAAAACATTGAAATGATGGGTTCTAAACGCAGATGAATACAATGGTGAGGAGTAAGTTGAAGCGGCATGTAAAATTGAATTTTGAAAACAAAATATTCATGGTGTTAAAGACAGAGTAAATCAAGGTCATTTTGTGGCTACTACACTTTTCTTGTAAACTACGTAGTTTTCATCTTCTAATGCATACGGACAAAGGTGGATAACTCTTGTGAAGCCATACAATCAGTCTTGGCTAGAAAATATAATAGAATCATAATGGGATATATTTATTTTTTCCTACTCAAACGTGGGCTCAATTTTTTGCCTGTTTCAGAGATGACTGAATTTGCTAAATATAGCTTCATTTTACAGTTTCATGATCTGTGCTAACAAAAAAACTCTTGATGTTAGTCACTGGATAGAATAGAGTGATTTATTTTGCTTTTGAAACAGATTGAGAATCTGTATTTTGCGTCCTTCAGATAGCTTCTTCATATATTGGCTAATAGAAGGCTAACTTGTCATTCAGACTGTATCTGCCAGTATAGCTGTTGGATCTCAAGTGTGGGTAGAAGATCCTGAGGTAGCTTGGACAGATGGGGAAGTTGTGGAAGTTAATGGTGACGAGATCAAAGTATTTACTTCATCGGAAAAGATAGTAAGTATTTCATTTTGGGATTCTGATATGTCCAACATATAATATATGGTGTAATATATTATGCTTTTAGTTTCTTTTTTCCCCAGTAGAACTCTTTCAATAATTCGCCTAAATTTCTTTCTTCAAATGGTTTTAGTTGTTGAAATTTTGTATGTCTTAATTGTGTGATATTTTGCGATTCCTTAATACCTAGACATTAAATGGGCTGCTGCATAATTCACCATAATAGGAGGTTCTTAATCCTTAGTTTTGGTTTACTTTGTTATTGAACAGATTTGTTTCGGACTTTGCTCATCCATTTTACCTGTTTCTGTGAGACGCAGCCATAATGGTGTTAATTGTTTGCTGGATCTTACCCGAGGGTTGCTATATTAGTGACAGATAATCTAAATAAAATCAGCTCTCATTGTTTTAACTAACTTTTACCTTGTAGAACGTTGCCGATTTAGCGAATATCCACCCGAAAGATCCTGATGCTCCTCCTTGTGGTGTGGATGATATGACAAAGCTTGCTTATTTGCATGAGCCAGGCGTTCTGTACAATCTGAGATGTAGATATGATGCGAATGAGATATATGTGAGCACTATCTTCCCTCTTTGACTTCCTTCTCTACTTTACACAATCCATGCTATATTTCTCTGCTCTTCTCTGAAGGCATTGCTTTTGTTTGAGATATATGCTGATTCTGGACGTAATTTGTTATCATTAACAGTTTTATTGCTCTATGGATCCTTCTATAGGAATATTCTGTATGTATGCAAGATATATCCGAAACTTTCCCTCTCTAACTTTTTCTTTCCATACAAATTTACATGCCTTGCTACTGCAGACCTACACTGGTAACATCTTGATAGCAGTGAACCCTTTCCAAAGGCTTCCACATCTATACAATAATCAGATAATGGAAAAATACAAAGGAGTGGCGCTTGGGGAGCTTGGCCCACACCCTTTTGCCATTGCGGATGCTGCTTACAGGCAATCTTTGTTTTCTCCAGGATCATTAAGTAACAACTGCTACTTTTATGTGTACCACTAACAACTGGATTCTGCCGGACGAATGCAGGCAGATGGTTAACGAGGGTATAAGTCAGGCAATTTTGGTTAGTGGGGAGAGTGGGGCCGGTAAAACTGAAAGCACTAAGATGCTTATGCAGTATTTTGCATATATGGGAGGTCGAGTTGCTGCCGAGGGACGGACTGTGGAGCAGCAAGTACTTGAGGTTTGTTTCTGAGTAATACATTTTTCATTTTTTTTTTCTTTNGTTTTTGCAGTCAAATCCTGTTCTGGAAGCGTTTGGCAATGCGAAGACAGTGAGAAACAACAATTCAAGGTTAGCCAATTAATGATTTATAGTTCCCTCACATATATGTGGTTGTGTTAGTATCTTGATTTTTTTTTTTCAACTATAAATTTTACGCTTTCATGGCAGTCGCTTTGGAAAATTTGTGGAGATACAGTTTAATAACAATGGTAGGATTTCTGGTGCTGCAATCAGAACCTATTTGCTGGAAAGATCACGCGTTTGCCAAGTTTCTGATCCTGAAAGAAACTATCACTGCTTTTATATGCTTTGTGCTGCTCCACCAGAGGTAATAACGTAGAACCTAGGAATATTTCTAATTTATTTCTGATTCTCAATGGACATCGTCAGGTGATATTTGGTCTTTCCTCCAAAAGAGGGGAAGGGGGGACAAGATGTAGTAACAACTTGACCTGTTAGCTCAGCTGCTTCGTTATTGTATCTTATTTTATATATTCTTTTAGTGAGTCTTTTAAATTTCAACCATAATCAGTTCCGCATCGACATGTGAGCATTGGAAACATCCACTTGGATCCTTTTACACTTTGCTCCAAATAACAAACTCTGGTTTTTATTCCTGGTTCATTGCTTCCCTGAGTTTTCACAATATTATCCAACCAACATGCGTATAAATGCAGGGATGTTGAGGTATTACAGTAACCTCTATATAGTCTTCCATTAGACCACCTCTATAGTCTTCCAATCATTACATCTCTGAGAACACTTGCACGCTGATTCTTCCTATAATCTCTGACACATGTACTATAATTGTTCTGTAATATTTCACAAGTTTTAACTCAGTAAAGGGTGCGTGTTCTATATCAGAGTCCTTTGTCTACTCAAATGAATAAATATGATTGGTCCAGTATTATTTGCATTGTCCACTGGAGAAACAATTTATTCTGGCGTTGGTTTGCTCCTCTTAGTCTTTAAAACATCTAATACATTACATATTCTTACCGTTGTATTACTTCTGATTTAGATACATGTAATGCCCAACACACGGGATGTTTAATCACCTTCATTTGGGATGACCAATTTTATATTCATTCTAAATACTTTTAATATGTTCAAATTTAAGCAAATACTATACCTGATTACCTAGTCTATATAGTCGCCGGGGGTCATTTATACTATAACTTTGTAAATCGAAAATATAAGAAAATGCTGGTTACAGTAGCTGGATCTTACATGTAAGTTGTGACGTTAGGTATGCTACGCTACTGTTGTTATTGGTTCACCTTCAACCAACTACTTATGCAGAGGATGAAGTACAAAGTTTTTGAACATTTATGATTTTCCTCTTCCTTCAAAAAATTCAATTTGGTTGACCTCTGTGGGATAGAAGAACTGTTGGGAATATTAGCAAATGTAATCATTGTCATGCTCTAATTTGAATGCCGATGTTTGACTGCCAACATTTCTCTTTCTTTCTAACAGGATGTTGAAAAATACAAACTGGGGAATCCTAGGACGTTTCATTATTTAAACCAGTCTAATTGCTACGAACTGGATGGAGTTGACGAGTGTAAAGAATATCTTTCTACTAGGAGGGCCATGGATGTTGTTGGGATCAGTTCCGATGAGCAGGTATCAATATATGGATGCAGTTTGTGTTCACATTTCATTATTTTCAGTGTTTGTAAAATATCCCATTTGCAGGATGCAATTTTCCGAGTTGTGGCTGCAATTCTGCACTTGGGTAATATTGAATTTGCTAAGGTAAGTGAAAGTGATGCTTCACAACCCAAGGATGATCAATCTCGATTCCATCTGAAGACAGCAGCTGACCTTCTAATGTAAGTTTTTTCAACTTCATATATTTTCACATTTTTATTTGAACTAGTGTTTCTGTATATACCACCCGGCTTTTCTGAAACTTATGGTGGATTGTTTTAGGTGTGATGAGAAATCACTTGAGGACTCCTTGTGCAAACGTGTGATGATTACTCGTGATGAGACCATAACAAGAAACCTTGATCCAAGTGCTGCTGCACTCAGTAGAGATGCTTTGGCCAAAATTGTTTATTCGAGATTGTTTGATTGGTCAGTAAGAAAAAGCTAATTCATTTGATTGTTCGCTTTAACTGGTTATCTTCATTCAAGAGAACACCTATTTTCTCAGGCTTGTGAACAAGATCAACCATTCTATTGGGCAAGATCCAGATTCAAAATTCTTAATAGGGGTGCTGGATATTTATGGCTTTGAGAGTTTCAAGACAAACAGGTGCTTAACCGGTATGCTTAATCTTCTTCATATTTAGAGGTTAATACCCTGCATGGTGCTGCACAAAAGCCTTTTTTATTAACTTATTACGATGGTGACCTTTGTCTATAATTCAGAAACCCTGTTTTTGCTATATTTCAATAATTTCTTATGCTACTCAGTATCTCAATGATGATCATTCTAGCATGATGTTTAATGGAATGGTTTCCTTTCATCTATGCATTACAATTGTACTATTTTTACTTTTATATCTTTGTTTTCTATTTCCAGTTATCTAGGGTTGCAACAAATACGAAGTTTTTCTTTGATGATAAGGTTTTTACTTTAAATGCTTGATGGTTATGCTATAGAGTGATTATTCTCATGTTTCTCACACTTTCTCTTGCAGCTTTGAGCAGTTCTGTATAAATTTAACTAATGAGAAACTGCAGCAACATTTCAATCAGGTGCACATATGATATTCTGGTCTATTTATCTTAGTAAATGTAGAAGTTTGACATAAAAATTAAACGAAGTCCCCGAAAGCAGAATTATTCTTTAAGATGACATTTTGTATTTTCTGGCAGCATGTTTTCAAGATGGAGCAAGAAGAGTATACGAAAGAAGAAATTGATTGGAGTTACATAGAGTTTGTTGACAACCAAGACATACTTGATCTAATTGAAAAGGTTTGAACGGTATCTGTTTCATAGTCGGCTGCAATTATCTTTTACATCAATTTTCTGAAGTTTATCTGTGCAGCCAATTATTTCGTGAACAACTTTAAATTGTTTGATATACCTTTTCACTTGTGTTGTGGGTTCTACTGTGATCTTAGCTATAACCAACTTATGAGTTATGTGCATTTAATTTCTATATGTTTTGTCATTTTACATCCTGTTAATTATTTTTAGATCAAAATCAAACTTGATTCGAATAATTCCCTTGAGTTTTGAAACTGCGTAAGTGCTAATACCAATTACTTGATTTACTCCATTCACAATGACAAGGATCTGTCTGTCACTCTCTTTCCCGAATAAGTGGAAATGTCAAGATTCAAGTGACTAATTTTTTTAAGAAAAGCATTTGTGTTGACAGCCTGCAGTTTACTGTAAAACTATTGAAGTATGTGCTTATGGTAGTTCTATACATCCTGCAGACAAAAAGGATTAATGTTTAGTGGGATTGTTTCTTGAGCTTTTCTGTTTGTAATAATTTTGTGGACATTGCATCTGAGCTCAGTTTTCTGTTTTTCTGAGGTTGCTTGAATTGTTTTTATATTTGTCTGCCTGACCGCAAAATTTTTGATATCTTGCACATACAGAAACCAGGTGGCATTATCGCTCTTCTTGACGAGGCTTGGTATGTTTTTACATCTAATGCTTATGATACGTATCAAAAGTTTTTGAAAAACATGCAGATTAAGTGGCTTTAATTTCCTATTTACTTTAGCATGTTTCCAAGATCTACCAATGAGACATTTGCAGAGAAGCTGTACCAGACATTCAAAGACCACAAACGTTTTCTAAAGCCAAAGTTGTCACGAACTGACTTCACCATTTGCCATTATGCTGGAGATGTATGAAACCTCTATGTTCTTCAATGGCAATAGGTTATAGCTAGAAAACGCTTGTTGCTCCTTGACATGAACTTTATCCTTCAAGCACACTTTGTTTTTGCAGGTCACTTACCAGACAGAACTGTTTTTGGATAAGAACAAGGACTATGTTGTTGCTGAGCATCAGGCTCTCCTCAGTACTTCAAATTGCGTGTTTGTCTCTGGCCTTTTTCCACCCTTGCCTGAGGAATCTTCTAAAACGTCAAAATTCTCTTCCATTGGTTCTCAATTCAAGGTTCATTCACTACATCTAGCCTTTAACATTTGTATACCTTTTTCACTTTTATTCTCTACAATTTGACCCATCATTTTTGCTAGTACAGCAACAACTGCAATCTCTTCTTGAGACTCTTAGTGCTACAGAACCACACTACATTCGCTGTGTGAAGCCTAATAATCTTCTAAAGCCTGCTATCTTTGAGAACTCTAATGTTCTACAGCAACTTTGCTGTGGGGTGAGTTTTAGTCACTATTTGCTTATTACATGTGAGGTGCAACATGTCATTATCTATGTTATAATTATTTGTGTCGTGAACTGTGAACTGGATTACATTGGCAAGGATAACGATATAACTAAAATTGTTTCCAGGGGGTTATGGAGGCAATCAGAATAAGTTGTGCCGGATTTCCAACTCGAAAAACCTTTGATGAATTCATAAGTCGTTTCAAGATCCTTGAGCCAAACGCCCTAAATGGAAGGTAACTTCAGAAACCAGTATCTGGTAGTGATAACTAATAATTCACCTTACACTATTCCTTCAAGATTGCATAACTTTCACTATCATACCGATTTTCCTCTTTCCTTACACTTCGATAGCAGTGATGAGGTTGCTGCTTGCCAAAGGATTTTGGGGAATGTTGGTCTTCAAGGTTATCAGGTACTTAACAGAATGTATGTGCAGTGTGGTACTTACTTTTGCATGAACTTTAATTGTTACTGCTGAAGGCACTTGCGAAAAAATGGGTGTTTTTTTCTGTTTTAATCTTATGCAATTGAATATTTTGCATTGCATGTCCAGATATTCGTTCTTTCTTTTTCCTCTTATTTTAAATTAAATGAGATCTTTGAAATATATGGCCTTATGGGAAATCATAATTGTAGAGAGACATGATCTGTGGAATTGCGCGGCTGGTCCTCTGTCTCTCAGTAATTTGATTAATCTTTTCATTACCTACCTTGGCCTTAATTAAGGCTTTGAACTTTACATAGTGCATCTACCTTTTTTTGCCTTTTACCAAATCAAAGTAATGCCATTTGTATGTTTTCATTCTCTAGTTGTGGTCGTTCTCATGAGGCTGACACTTGAAATATCCATGTTTTTAGCAATTCCATAGTTAAATTTTCATATAATGTATTAAACACAGAGTTAATAAGGTATATCTCATGACTCCCGGTTTTCCAGATTGGCAAAACAAAAGTGTTTCTAAGAGCAGGCCAGATGGCAGAACTAGATGCACATAGGGGACAGGTGCTTGGGAGATCTGCATGCATAATTCAGAAAAAAGTTCGTTCACATTTGGCACGCAAATATTTCATCTTGCTACGCATGTCAGCTGTGCAAATTCAGGCAATGTCAAGAGGTATTCAGTATTAGCTTGTGGTTCGACTTTTGTTTCTTACACGTCAATAATTATGAGAACCATCTCCGAGTAGTCATAGTTATTACTTACTATTAATATTCCTTTTGATGTGTCAGGGCAAGTTGCTCGCCATATTTACGATCACAAGAGAAGAACAGCTGCTGCTTCGAAAATCCAGAATGAATCACGTGCATTTCTTGCTAGAAAAGCTTATGCACTTCTGTCCTCTTCCGCAATCCTCATTCAAGCAGGACTAAGGGGTATGGCTGCTTGTAATGAACTCCAATTGAGGAAGAAAACAAAAGCAGCCATTGTCATCCAGGTAATTTCATGCATAAAAGAGGTAGTACTGATTCTCAAATGCTCTACAGTCATTTTGTTTGTTTTTACGTGTGTAGGACCTTAATAAGCTAACTGTGGTTCCTTGGTGAGGAGTTCTATAGATATATATTTTTGTGAACTTTGCTAATGAAATTTCATTTAGTTGGTCGCCGTCTGGCTATCACTACACTTTGGGATGTTCACTTTAGCTTGGCAGAAATACTAACAACTCTTATAACTTGTTGCTTATTATGAAACATGATACGTAAACGTGCATGTAGACATGCTCCTGTTCAGTCAATAAAAAACGGCAAACTGCCTGCATAATAAGGACTTTCTCAGCTGTATGTACATGAGTACGGAGTTACTCATTGAGGTTGGCTTTACAGGGGTTGTGTGTCTGCAATGGTTAGATAATGAACAAGATAGTAATGACGAATCTTTTCTTTTTCCTTTTCTCTTCCACATTTGATTTCCAATCTTTGGATCTCATCATCTAATATTATTAATGCTGAAGTTGGCTGAGGTTTGCAGTCATTCTGAGGTCTGTCCAAGCTAATAGTTATATTCACGAATCATCATGGCGGTTCAGACGTCAATTACTTTATTTTGTACTTCGAATAAATTTCAAGATATAAGAGATTTATGCTAATGGAAATTGGCAATTCATATTTATGCTTGAATTTTTTTGCTAAGGCATCCGCATTTTGATGGTATGTATTCCAGAGACATTTTCGAGGACACTGGGCCTACTCTTGGTATTTGAGGATGAAGAGAGCAGCAGTTGTTGCTCAGTGTGCCTGCAGAGCAAGGAAGGCTCACAGAGAATTTAGATTGCTTAAATTGGTAAGTATTTAGTTTTTCTTTTTGTTTTTTTCTTTTTTCTTTTTAAGCAAAGTAATAAGGAGGGCAGGTATGTGTGCTTGAAGTTGTTTAATAATGTCACAGGTTTACGACAAATGACATTTGGGAATACAGATGTTTAATTTTATGTAGGCTTGAAACTAGGATCCTTACGAAAGCATCATCAAATTCAGCTATATCTTGGGTTATTACAAATAAATTTGATTCTACTGCTACTCCTATTTTACTTCTTTATCACTTAATCTGGAAGCCTTTCATTTCTCAAATTGAACCCTTAATCAAGTTGAGCCTATATTTGCTGTTCCTTCATTTTTTGAGAATGGCTATCCCCTATTAAGTCAATAGTTAGGTTAACGTATTGATATTTTCATTAATAGTTCAAACTCAATTTCTGATTCTAAGTGCCCAAATGCTTTAGAACTGACGATAAAATGGCTTTGTACCTCGCTTCAGGCTGCAAAAGAAACAGGAGCACTTCAAGAAGCCAAAAGCAAGCTTGAAAAGCAAGTTGAAGAGCTAACTTGGCAACTGGAGTTGGAGAAACGCATGCGGGTATTATGTTTTCTTAACTTGCTTTTGACATTAACTTTCATGTGGAAGTTTGTGAATGTCATATCCGCTTTGCGGCAGAATGTATGAAAAGGTAAAGACGCTGACTACTTTCTTCACATTGCCTTATTGTTGGCTTAATGTTTTCAGGCTGACATACAGGAAGCTAAAAATCAGGAAACTTCAAAATTACAATCTGCTATGGAGAAAATGCAGTTGGAATTTCAAGAAACGAAGGAACAGCTGATGAACGAACTTGAAGCTGCAAAGAAAGGAGGTGGGCAAGTGTCTGTTGTACAGGTTCCTGAAGGAGATGGGCAAGTTCCTATAGTACAAGAGGTGTCTGTTATTGATCATGATCTGATTGATAAACTAACAGCTGAAAATGAGAAGTTGAAGGTGATTTCATTCAAACGAAATGTATTTTGGCGGTATCTCTGTTTGCAGCTTTTAATAGATGGTGCCCTGAAAATTGTATTTCAGAGTTTAGTAAGTTCTCTGGAAAAGAAAATAGATGAAACCGAGAAGAAGTATGAAAAAACAAACAAGCTTAGTGAGGATCGATTAAAGCAGGCTCTGGAATCAGAGTCGAAGATTATTCAATTGAAGACTGCAATGCAGAGGTTGTAATTTTAATTAATTCTCATCTATTGATTCACTTCTGAGATCAGGAAACTTATTTCAAGGAACTTATTCTAATAATATCCCTCTGGTTTCTATTTTTGCATGAAGGCATGTATTTCTTTTAACCATGAGTTCATCTAATAGTCATGTTCCATTATCTTCTACTTTAGGCTTGAAGAAAAACTATCAGATATAGAGACCGAGGACCAGATTCTCCGGAAACAAGCTTTGCTGAATGCTCCTTCGAGGAAAGTGTCTGGACGATTTGGTCAAATCCCTCAGGTTGCATGCAGTTTTTGCCCTAGTTTTT